AAATCTGCTGGTGTGAGATCCGGTGAACGAGGTGGCCAAGCGATTGGACCTGCTCGCCTGATCCACCGACCTCGGAAGTGGAGATCCAAACATGCTCTGACATCTGTATGGAAATGAAGTAGTGCACCATCTTGCTGAAATTGAGTTACACTGTTTGTTTGTTCGAACCAGAACACACATTGTGCCCTTTCCCCGCCGTTATAAGTCTCCATTTTGTTTTCCACAACTCACAGGCGCTCTCAGTGGCAATGTGAAGAACTCTTATCTTTTTATAAAGAAAAAATTTAAATGGGGTGGAAATTCACCGCCACCAGCACCACAACCCAATGGCCGCCACCACCCCGTCCTGCTCCGCCTCCTTCATGTTGATATTTTTGCGATACATAAAAGAGATCATGGCCTCTTGGCTTATTACCTTTACACACTTGTTATCTTGTTTTCCAGCCGCTTTGTTTGTTGCGTTTGGCCGCCGGATGGAAAGTTCTTCTACTTCAGTGTTAGTGACATGTCTGTTGTGTTTTCAATCTGCAGTGGGTTCCAGAAATCACACATCATTGTCAGAAAACACCATTTCTGTTGGTGGGAACGCAGATCGATTTACGAGACGATGCCGCAACCATAGAGAAGTTGGCCAAGAACAAACAGAAGCCGATCACATTTGAACAAGGAGAGAAACTTGCTAAAGAGCTGAAGGCCGTCAAATATGTCGAGTGTTCGGCACTGACACAGGTATGAACGACTCTTGAGACCTCCAAGCAGAGTAATAAGTTTTGATGATAGAATTTTAGACTAGTTCATTGATATCCAAGTTAATATTCCATGATGTATGAAATAATTATTTAGAACCGGTCATTGTGTAAATAGATTAATATACTCTCAAGAATCTGACATTAGTCCATATCCTGAGCCAGATGAATCCATTCCAAACACCAAAATATGATTTTGTTAATTTTAATATTATCCTTCCACTGTCTTGTGAGTGATTTGTTTGCGTGATGCTTTCTGTCAGCATATTGTACACAGTTCTCATCTCCCTCATACGTGCTACTGCCTTACCCATATTTTCCTTTCACCCTAATAATATTTATTGAAGAGTAGGAACTACAGTGCTATGTGTGGTGGGGGTCCCCTCGTACCACCTCAAGGCGCGTCCTCACGTTGCGGATAGAGGGACGGCCTCCAGGTTTGGAGGTTAGCTGCGAATATATTGAATAAGCAGTTGTGGACAGCGATCAAGGGGTGGTCCTCCAGCTTGGGGGTTGGGCAAAAGGTTAACAGCCTTTCACCGTAAAGAAAGCATTGATACTAACACATTAATTAAGCCTCGGAGGAGACTAAATTCCAGAAATGATTGTTACTTCCCAGTTCAAAATATTTTGTCTGATATCTAAGAACCTGAAAATTAAAATATACAAAACAATAATTTTGCCTGTTGTTTTGTATGGGTGCAAAACATGGTCTCTCACTCAGAGGGAGGAACACAGATCGCAGGTGTTTGAGAATCGGGTGTTGAGGAGGATATTTGGGCCTAGGAGAGAAGACGATGGGGTATGGAGAGAAGTGCATAATGATAGCCTAAATATCTGTACTCCTCCCCCAGTATTGTCAGGGTGATTAAATCGAGAAGAATGAGATGGGCTGGGCATGTAGCGCGCATGGATGGGGCAAGAGGTGTGGAAGCCTGAGGGGAAGAGACCTCTGGGGAGACCTAGACGTAGATGGGAGGATAATGTCAGACGGGATCTATGGGAGATAGGAGTTGAAGGAGACTGGATTTTGGTGGCCCAGGACAGGCTCCGGTGGAGGGCTTTGGTTAGTTCGGTGATGAACCTTCGGGTTCGGTAAGCCATCTAGTTAGTTAGAATCTACAGAGCTCTTCGTAATGCAGCTTCCTGCCATCTATCTCATTTCCAGATATTCTTCTAAGCATCTTGTTCTTAAAAACCCTCAGTCTTGTGTTCTTCCCATGACATGAGAAACCAGATTTCACGCCCATGCGAAACAAAGGTAAAATTATAGTTTTGTATATTTTAATCAATGTTTTTAGGTAGCAGACGGGAAGACAAAAGATTTTGAACTGCATGGTAGCAAGCATTTGCCAGATTTCATCTGATGTTAATGTTTTCATGAATAATACAATTCTGATTTGATAATGTTGTTCCCACAGTTTCAAAGGAGTTATTATTAGTTAACCTGTATATAATGATTTTATCCTGTATTCTGGTGTCAAGACATGGATATGTAACTTCTTTTCTTTACAGTTTCCTTCCAGTTTGGTGTCTAATGTAGCTGTTACATTTTGCATTTAAATTAACGTTATCAGCATATACCAAAAGCTTCTTGGGCCTTCATGATGGCGTATTCTAAAAGCAACAGTGATAAATCATCTCGTTACCAACCCTTCTGAGTAGGAAATTCTTCAGACATATGTTTACCTACAAAGACTTACTTTATGTTGTTTTTGAATCCATGTTAATTAGCCGGGGTAACCGGGGTTTGATCCATGACGGTGGCAGAGGGTTTTTGCTCTAGCCTCTGCTCTGGGGCTCACCCAGCCTAGTATCCAGTGGATACTGGGGTCCCTTCCCGGGGGTAAAGCCGGCCGGGGCATGACGCTGACCACTCACCCCCATCTAGTGCCGAGGTCGAGGAAGAGAGGAGCTATACCTCCTCTACCCCCAAGCGCTGAACCGTCCGGTCCACCTTATACTCGCTGACTCGTTGCTTGTGTATTCTACGCCCCGAGATATTATTGGGGAAACCAAGGAACATTGAAAGCAGTTGAACATAAACAATCAGTAAAATCAAATCCCAATCAGTTTGAAGTTAATCAAACAAATGAATTTAATATTAAAAATTGAATAAAGCAAGAATGACAAAAAAACAAAACTGTAATACAAAAACAAGAATACAAATTAATCCTTCAGAAGAAACAAATATTTCAAGTTACTACATTCATACAGACCCTAGGTGTGTCCAATACAGATGGCAGCCACCCTAAACACAGATTGGGAAACATTTCCCTCTTTAAGCAGAATAATACATAAGGCCCCCCTTAAAGTTTGTAGGTTTGCGAGTACTGGTTTAATACCCGCAAACGTCCCTTCAGCTGCCAGTTCCAGCCGTAACCCGACGTCAATTATAGTATCACATACTATCTCACTCAACCCCAAGAACAAAATTCAATACATAAAAATGTAGATAAATATATGGGTTGTAGTGATTTCACAAAAACTTTCATTAGTTTTTGCTAGAGACCAAGTTCCTTTTTGGTCCTCAACCATAATGAAAAACAAACTTCTTTCACTATTCACTTCCCACAAGGGAACTTCATTATTCGATAGTGGAACAGCTTCCTTCACAACTGCTCCCTACTCTTTTACGACGACTCCTCTCTAGTCTGGGATTCCCCTGCCAGACCAGCCCCAATTTACACATCATACATGAACATTCTTACACACAACACTTTTACTCCCACAACACCCAGTGAATATCAAAACACGATGCGTACGTTACAACACTTCCTCCAAAACTTCTTACTTTTCCGAGCGACCAATTTCCTATGGTCCGCGATCAGAAACATGAAAGATCAAGTCCCATTCATTGATCAATCATCCGTTTGAACCACACAAGGATTCAAACACCCTCTTGTCTCGGCGTCATCACGCCCCGCGAGACAAAGAGAGCCACTAGCCTCTCAACCAGGCGTAGGCTTTGGGATCACGTGTTTCGCTACGCAGTAGCTCGTGATCGAACTGGTGCTTCCCCGTCCTTATCGCGCTGCTGCTAGTCTCTCGACAGGCGTCCCATTCCACCTTTGAGAAACGTTTAACAGACGCGATACATTTACCCAAACGCAACAAATACACTTTTCATTTACACACCAACAAAAGATTAATAACTGTGACAAAAAAAACAAATACCATTCTAGTCGACATATATGACGATACATACACGACAGTAAGATGAGGCCCTTATTACAACTGGGCCACACCCGATCACAAGCACAGCATACTTACAAGTTCATTTACTCACAAAAATAATGAACACAAGAAGAAGATAAACTATTATACAGGTGCAGATTCTGTCGATTATCATAATGAACGTACTAAGCTAAATCTGAACCAAAAATTGACGGCCCCGACAATTTTTGGTGCCAGACGTAACTCTACGCACGTCTGATCATTATGACAGTCGAGCAGAAAGAGGCCGACCACATCCAGGTCAGTCCTAATCACACGTCTTCCCGAGCCGGAGACAGGGGAGGGGGAAAGTTACAGCTAATTGGTTAATTATAACGTAAGGGGACATAGAGATTTTATTATCTGGAACGGTTTCTTAACGGTACATCAACCTCTCGTGGCCGACCAAACACAGTACAAATGCTGGCCACCAGAGGTCATCGAAGGCCTGAACCTTAGAACGGTTCAGCGCCTACATGGCGTATAGTGAGACAGCTTTACTTTACTTTTGCTGTCCATGTCTGGAGGCTTTCTCTGTCTGCAACCCGAGGACTTGCCATGCTGTAGTGATGAGGGACACTCAACTTGAAAAGAAAATAAAAGTTTTGCAAAGAGATGTTAATTTGTTATAGAGTTGTATAATTTTCTCTCCTAATCATTGCCTCTGGTTGACGAATATTTTCTGTTAAAATGTTTCATGTTGGAGTTTAGTTTGTTGAAAACTGTTTTTTGTATGTGCTTTTGTTTACAGAAAGGATTGAAGAATGTTTTTGATGAGGCAATTCTGGCTGCGTTAGAGCCCCCAGAACCGGTAAAGAGGAGAAAGTGCATCCTCTTGTAAATTTTTGTATTAGCTGCAGATCAGGGTGAGTTAAGGTATGTTGGTAAGTTCTTGTAGCATCACATTCACAAATCCAACAGTTGTCTGCTTGAAGTTGGATCAGTACCTGAACAGGAAGCCTCAGTGTTTCATTGCACGAACTTTTCACATAACGTTTGTTTTTACTGCGTTGTCTCTGTGTTCACCACATACTGTGGAACATTGATTTTGTGTTGCTTCCCTTATCTTACAATTTTTTGCAAAATTTGTTTCATGTTTGTTTCCCCCGTATACTTAAAAATATTTCATTTTTCATGTTTGTACATAAATAATATAAAATGTTATACAAAACAATAGATTTTTTTGCATAACTAGTGTAGGACCTTTGCATAAAATTTGCACACTTCCACAGAAAACTGGTAGTATTACAAATGGTTTATCATCATCTCATTATATGGCAGCGACGGCCAGAAGTCGAGTCTTGGCCTCCTTACAAATGGTTAATACTGGATGCGAAATATCTTTGAGCCCGAACAACATCATAGTATAAGGGAAGATACCTTATGCGTTATTGCTTCCGCTCCATCCCCGTGCCTCGGCTGGCTATTCGACCACCAGTGTTTATTTATAACGGTCGGTGAAGCCCATATACATCCTGCAACAAGTATATCTGTACCACAGGATCGGCACGTGCTAAACAGATGTTTGCACACTACTTTATGACAGGTGTAATGAATCACGATGCAGGTTATGGTTCAAGTACGTGATCTTGCTTCATTTTGGATGTGCTGTTCTTGTTCTGAAATACCACGGCAATTGCCCGTCTCTCGTTGTACAAGCTTACAGTGCATTACGTGATTTTTTTATTTCCCAGCAGATAACAAAGTAAACGGATTGGTTTTTCGGCGCCTCGTTCGTCATTATATACTAACCAACTTGTGAATATGCGCATTGACAGAGAAGGACAAGTCTATTGAGATGTTCTTTAAGGGATTCTCCAGTTGTGAAATGCAACATAACAAGGAAGCAGGAAGGAGTGTGAGCAGTGTATACTTATATTAATAAAGGGGTAGGTAGGTTTGGAAATGCTAGACATTGTCTGGTTGCATCGCAGCAGTCCGAGGTTGGGATGAAGAATATTTATCAGAGGAGGTGCATTTTAATTTGATTCTGTGCCATTGCCACATTCCTTACTGTTTTGAACACCTCGTGCATAATGATGGAGTGTTTCTTTGGTCAGCACGGACGACTGGTTTGTTTGGCGATGGGGGTCATGTGCTTGTCCAGTACCTTCATTCCTAATGGCAAGTTCATACTTACAGAGGAACGTTCTGCGATATTGCAGTTATGTTTCACAAATTTGAATTTGTTATATCAGATAACTTTTGTTTTGCGACAGTTCCTTTATATGTAGTTGAGATTTCTGTGGATGGCGTCAGTTGGCTGGCGATGTTTCTTAAACGCTTGCTTTTAGCGAGTGTGTATCTTGTTTTTACTTATTTGTCTCTGTCAACAAGAAAAGTTAGATTATTCTACATTGTGCAGGAAACTGTTGTCATATAACATTTTTCCCATCCACAGGAATTTTCTCTTGCCAGTAGGAGCTGGTACGAGTGATGATACGTAATGGGAGAGGTTGTATAAAATTTGTCACATATAAAACACTCTGCCCTTTTTGAGTGCATAATCCTTCCTTACTATTGAACACTAATAATATATTATTGTAATAATAAGTATAGTTCCCAAAGGAAGTAATTTAATTCTGGGTCAATTTTGTATGCTGTATGTGTGGCTGCGTGATTGTGCGAGTGGTATTATATGATGGATTCACTTTGAAATTGCTAGCAGTCTCATGAGCAGAGATGTTTCAGCGAGACAAAGATGAATATTTGGTAATTTTGTTTTCAAGCCTGTAAATTTAACTTACGTTAGAGTTTATAGATATTCATGAATAAATTAACACGAAGCGTGATTTTACCAAATGCGAAGTGTGTTACTGTCCCGTCAGCACCTCATTTGACTGATTTAAGGCACAGCAATGTGGACATATTGGTTCACAGACTCGATGATTTTGCGTGCGTGTTGATCAAGTCTGTTGATGGACATCACTAGTTTTTTGTGTTGACACACGTTAGGCTTTCTCACTATCGTACGTTTGATAGTGAAGTATGTTTCATCAGGTTTTCTTTAGCACCACGTAGTATTGATTCTGTGCCGCATGCAAAAATCAAGATTTGTTTTAAAAAGCAATTTACCCCATGTTTTTGCAGAACTGAAAACATGCAAGGTGTTTCGGCCGCTTTATAAGGCATATCGACACGATTCAAGTCTAATGATCTTAGACTGTCCTCATTGAGACGATTAATCGTGTCTTGAGTAACCATTCGGTCTGTTTCATACACTTATCATTTTCAGTCTCAGAACTACTGGTTTACAGGTTAATGATGGAGAAATATTACAGTTTTTATGTAATGAAGCCTCATTTATTGGTAAAGTATAGCAGTTATACTTTCGTGCGAAAGATGCCATTCTTGCAACCATTGAAAGTAATGGAAGATGTTTCTGCGTTTGTCTAAGCTTTAGCTGCTAAGTAGCTGAGGAGCCATGAAATTTGTGACTTAAGTACACCGAAGTAAGTCATCGTCGTATATTCTTTCAACCTGTCAATTTCTGTGTGATTTTGCTTTGATTCAAGATTATAAATTGAATGTTGTATGATCTTAAGCTCTTACGGCAACTAAGTACGTATAATAAACTCTTCTCGAGGTACCAGCCGTGGAAGGTGGCTTAATGAAGAGTTTATTATAAATTGGTTGTGTTTGAATAGGATAATAACGAGAATATTTAAATCTAACAGACATTGGATAAAAAATGGACAAATTTGGAAATACTTCATATAGTAAGATAAAAAAAATTTGATTAGACTCTAATGAGGTGGAGGTACAGTGAGATTAATATGCTTAAGTCGTTAAAGTGAAACTCCTAGCCACTTGGCGGAGGTAGTGGTGAACGCCAGATACATATTTCCGAGAGGTTCTGCCGTGCGTGTGGTCTACAGATACATATTTCCGAGAGGTTCTGCCGTGCGTGTGGTCTA